AATAGGGTAGTTGATGAGTGGAACAGTCTACCTAGTTGGGTTATTGAGGCTGGGACTTTGGGTAGTTTCAAATTTAGGTTGGATAAGTACATGAGTGGGAGGGGTTGGATTTGAGTGGGACTTTCACATCAGAGCTTATTTCTTAGGTGGCATTGAAAATTGGGTTGGGCAAATGTTTTGTTAGTGGGATGAATTGTAAAGGACCTGCCTAGTATGGGCCAACAGGCCTGCTGCAGTGTTCCTCCTTTCTTATGTTCTTATGAGAAGAGTCCCAGATTTGCCGGGGAGTCACATATTTCTTACCGCTAGGCATGCTGAACAAGAACTATTGAAATGGCATTCCCACAATGCACCACTGGCTACCCAATTTTTTTTATATAGTGCACACTGACCATGGAGACCCATTCTCTCACATGTGGGCCTACCAGCTTTCTCCTGCTTGATTTGAATCCGCTAGAATTTATGTATTAATACGTCAAACACGGTGGCTCGTAAGACGTATATATACGACCAAAACAGTTAAAGGGTTAACGCTCAGTGTGCAGTATTAAAAAAATCTGGGACAACTTAGTACATTTTTGGAGCACCAGTTCAATTGAGCGCTAGATAGAGCAAACAGCGTGGCAAACACCAGGAATTCACTGATGCCATGTCATATTTAAAACTTTTAAATGAGGATAGGGGAGGCTCAGGTTGGGGTGTGTAGAAGAGAGGGAGACTACCTTTAAAGTAAAAGTAGGTTTTTGGACAGGGATGTGAAATTTTCCCCTTTGGTTTTGTTTAAAAATTTATGGGAGGGGGTTTTTGAAAAGGGAAGTAAATGCTAGGTGTTCGGGAGAGGGGGGGGAAAAAAAAAATTTTTTGGGGAATCAAATTAAAAATGGGAATTGCACATTTTTATTTTTTTGCTGATGATACTGGGCTTATGGGGTTTCCCAAAAGGGAAAAATTTGCAAAGGTTAGGGGTTTTAGTTTGGGAATGTGTGAAAAGGGTAAAAAGGTTAAAAGTAAAACATAGAAAAGGTAAGGTGATGGGGGGTGTAAAATGATTTTTTTTAAAAAAAATTTTGGGTTTTCCCAAAATTGGGGATGAGGAGAAATTGGAAGAGTGAATTTTTTTCAAATTTGGGGAAGTTGACTTGGTAGGGGGAAATGGTTTTACGAAGGATGAGGTTAATCAAGAATTGATGGGGGAAAAAAAGGGTGAGGTGCTTTGGGGGTATATGTGGAGTAAAAAAACTTTAAATTAGGGAGGAAAAAAAAAGGGGAATGAAATAAAAGTATAGTAGTCCCAAACCCCCTTTTATGGGTGGAAGCTTGGGGTTTGGAAAAGCAGCAGCGAGGGAGGGTTTGGGAGGCAGTGGAGATGCCCCGTTTAAGGGAAAAGTGGGGTGAAAAAATTTTAGCAAAAAATTCGGAGTGGGGGTTTTTTGGAAAAGGTGTGGGGTTAATAAAAGTTTTAGTCAGAGGGCAGAAGAGGGGTTTTTTGAGGGGGGTTTGGGTCATTTAGGGGAAAATGTTTCAAAGAAAGAATGACATGGAAAGCATTAAATCTATGGGGGAAAGGGAAAGGGCGGGGTGGGGGTCCCCTCAAAAGGGTTGGAGAGAGGGGGTAAAAGGTTTTGTGGGAAAGGGGGCCCTGGATTTTCCAGCAAGCGTTGCGGAGCGTGTTGGGAGTAAAAGGGAAAGACGAATGGTACTTGGGACCTGACGATCGGTTGGAGTGGAGCAGGTAATATTTAGTAAAGGGATTCGGGGGAAAACCCGGTTTTAATTTTTCACATAGTCGGATTTGATTTCCTTGGAAATGGGAAGTACAATCCCTGCATTTTAAAAAGGGGAGGGGTTTGGGTTTTTGGCATTTTGGGGGGATTTGTTGTGTATCTTTATTTGTGAAATGCTTCAAAACTGTTGTGTTTGGCAACCCCGCAAAACTTGGGTAATGTGCGAGTGTGGTGAAAGTGTTTTAATGATGATTAAAGTATTTTCTTTTTGGGGATTTTTTTTTCTTTTTTTGGGTCACCCCGCCTCGGTTTGGGGGAAAACCGACTTTTGTTGAAAAATTTTTATATATATATATAAAAATATATATATAATATATAGGAAAGAGGGAAAATTTTTTCCCCCCCCCCCCCCCCGTAAAAGTAGGGCCCTTTGACAAGGATGTGTGATGTCAAACCGTGGTTTTTTAAAATATTTAAAGAAGGGGTTTTAAGAGAAATAAATGCAGGGGGCCCTTTGGGAAGAGGCGAGGGGTTAAAAATAAAAAATCAACACAAAGTGGGGGTTGTCCAGTGCTCTTTTCTGAGAACCCCTGTGCCCCGGGGATTCTGAAGAGAAATTGAGAGAGGTGGATGAATTTGGTTTGGGTGGCAAAAAAAAGAAAATTAAAGGGGAATAAAAGGAAAAAGGGAAGGTTTTTTGGAAAAACAAAAAGATTTGGTGATGAAAGATTTAAAATCAGATTGGGGGGGAGAGAGTATGGGGAGGGGAACGTATTTTAAATAAAATTTTTAGTGGACGTGTCAGCGGATGGGTTATGAAAAATTGAGGGAAAAAATAGAATTGAGAGGGGAAAAAGGGGTTTAGTGGTGCCCCTTAGGGGTCTGTGGAGACAAAGAAATTTGGGCCTTGGGGGCAAAGAGGGGAATGTAAAGAGAGTATAAATTTTACCAACGCCCCTTTTAAAAGGGGGTTTTTTGCGTGGGGGATGAAAAGTTTTTGCGAGGGAAAGGGTGGAGGCAGTGGAAAATGTCATTCCCCGAGGGCAATGTGTGGTTGAATATAATGCAGAGAAAATTTGTATTTTGGAAGGTTTGGAGGAAAGGGGCGGGTTACCAAAACTGTTGTCCAGAGGGCTGAGGAAGGGGTTTTTGAGGTGGTTCGGACATGTAGAGAGAATGGGGCGAAACAAATGACTTCAAGAGGGATCAGTCCCCGGGAGTGGAAGGAAGGCGGGGGAGGGGTCCCGGCCCAGGGGAAGGGGTTGGGGGGAGGGGTAAAAAGGGGGTTTTTTTGTGGGGAGGGGGTTGGGAAATTCCAGCGGAATGGGGGACGTTTTTTTGATAGGGGGTGAATGGAGACAAATGGGGTTTTTTTAAAAAAATTACGTGCTGTTTTGGGGTTTTGGGGCAAAATTTAAATTTATGAAGGGAAACAGGGGAAAACCCGGGAGGCCGGCTTGGGGTCCTGGAGATGGGAAGTAAAATGCCTGCACTCTGAAGGATGGGGGTTATTTTGCGTTTAAAAAAATGTAGGTAAACAACCCCTTTTGGCAAAACAGTGGGTGGAGTGAATGAGGGGGAAAGTTTTTCTTTTTCGGGGCCCCCCTGCCCTTTGGGGGAATTTGGGGCCCGGGGTGATAAAAAAAAATATATAAAAATATATATAAATATATATATATAAAATATATATATATATAAAAAATAATTTTTTAAAATTAGTGTGTCAACAAGGCGGTGAAAAATGTTCACCTGCAGGGTTTTTTGACTGTTTTATTACTATTATGTATGTAATATTAGCTTCAAAACAAATTTTTGGGTATAAA